TGATTATGCCGATACCATTTGGGGTGATAAGAACAATTCGGTGCTGATGGATTCCCTTCAAACTTTAGAGAACAAAGCTGCAAAGCTGATCTTAGATGAACATCCACGCTATTCTGCAACGGAAGCACTACGACGACTAAAATGGACAACACTTAAAACTAGAAGACATAACCATAGATGTATATTTATTTATAAATGTTTAAATGATTTAATTGACTTTAAATTTGAATTAACAAAGAACGAAGACATTCACAGCTATTACACGAGAAGAAACTAGGGATCCAAGGATAGTGCAGAGTTTCAAAGACGAACGCTATATTGACATACTTATTAATTGAATAGTTTTTCAAGCGTGGTTTATAGCTTTAATCACATGTCGATATGACGTACAGTAGTAGCGCGCGTGACTGTTACAACAGTAAAAAGGCTAAGATATGGTTTAAATCTAATACTTTAAGATTAAAGAATGACGAGAGTTATGTAATATTATTTATTTCCTCATATAATATTAGTCACAAGGCATAATTTCTGTTATAATGTTGTAAAGTTTCCAATTGAAAACGACACTATATAAGGTCGCCGGCAACCTAGGTGACTTGTTTAAATCTGTGATTATTCCCACTATCCTTTTAGCGCCCATATTGTGCACTTTGGCTTTTGTCTCAGTGACAATTTGAGAAAATAGCTGTATAAGATGTGTTATAAATAATAAGCACTACGACGTTGTATTCCATTACAAAAAAGGAACATAAATCTAAAACACAGAAACGTAAATAAGAGGCGAAAAACTCATTAAAATGACGTATTTCATCCGCATTTTATCCCCATATCCGTTCCGTGAATCCGCATCCGCTTTCCGCATTTTAATCTAATTATGACGTGTTCACAATAACAAGTCTCATTGACCTTTGATATATTTCGAAGGTCACGTTGTTGTTTCATGAGTCATTTTCAGCTTTTCGCATGTATTCAATAATGTAACTTTAGATTTCAATAGTTTCACAGTTATTGCAGTGTTTATATAGCAGTTTTGACAAGCTTTGATACAGATAGATTCTCGTAAGATCTGGTAGAGTTTTCGTTGCACTGAACACGAGTTTGCACCGTTGTGCTATACACGTAAACAAAGATTTTCTCAATATTTATGTCTGAAATGTTTATACATTTGAAAACACGGTCTCGCTGCTTCCTAGCTCTGTATAATGAATATACCGTCGGCACTTAATAGAATGCCCGTAATGCAAAAAATCAATTTATATATTGCGTAGAATCTCAAAGATTTTCTCAATATTCATGCCTGAAATGTTTATACATTTCAAAAGACAAAACAACACTGTCTCGCTGCTTCCTAGCTTTGTATATTGAAATTGAATATACCGTCAAAATAATATCGGTACTTAATTGAATGCCCATAATGCATAATGCATAAGTCATAACATCAATTTATATTTTGCGTAGATTCTCAAAGATTTACTCGATATTCACGTCTATAAAAATGTTTATAATTTGAAAACAACACTGTTCGGCAGTGTCGCTCCTTCCTAGCATCGTCATTCGTCTATGGCGTGCCAAGATGGACAATATTACTTTACGTCCATTTATATAATGTATATTTCAAATATATAAATTCAAATCTATTTTTGTAAGCCGAAATTGCCATATATAAAACGAAACAGAAATATATACAACGAAACAGAAATATATACAACGAAACAGAAATATATAAAATGAAACACTCATATATAAATCGACATTAGTAGATATATAAAACGAAATATTCCAAAATATATGAAACGAATTTTCCCAAATATATAAAACGAAATTCGTCAAATATATAAAACGAAATTCCTCAAATATATAAAACGACATTTTACTAAAATAAAACGACATTTTTGGCGCAGAAAGAGCGCGACTAATTTATCCGGAGTAATTTGCGCTTATGCAAATATGGCGGGCAACAGAAATCTGCTAAGTTTATCAAATCTTGTCAAAGCAATTTCTCGATTGAGTCAAAATAGCACAGAGACCCGTAATAGTGGGGGATGCAAGAAACTACAGACGACGTGGAAGCAACGATATGAACGCTCTTTCCTTGAACGAATGGTCAGACAGAAGCAAACCGAAATGAAATTCGTGTGGTCGCGGAACACGACGCGCTCGGCGCTGAATACACCTGATCGTCGATACCCGAAAACGCAGAAAGATTCGTGCCTAATTGCAAATATGGTATCAAGAAACGGCCTACTGGCAAGCTACGTTGAGCAACAACAAAAATATGCTCATATAACCTGCACCACCTTGTAACACCCTGATTTCATCAGGTGCCCAGCAGTCTGTGAGAAAACATTTTCCGCTTCTTTCGTGCCTCAGCCAGCGGAAAATAACACTTCTCACACACCGCTCGGAGCTGCTGTAGCGTCAGCCGCAACCATACAACGCATAGAGTTAATTTATACAGTTTATGTATAAATCATATTTGGAAGCCAGGAACCTCCATTTGGAGGCGTATCCAGAGTATCAAATATGGTCAGATACTTCTGAGCACACCTATGACATACAGCCGTGCTATCGCGTTGTCCAAGAAAGCATTAGTGAAGGAAGGGCTTGATGCTAAAGATTACGGACTTCACAGTTTACGATCTGGCATGGTAGTGCTACAAGCCTACGACTGCAGCTGCTCTCGGTATTCCAGACCGCCTGCTACAGAGGTAAGGAGGGTGGCATACTGCGAAGGCAAAGAACAATTACATTGATGAGTCAAAAAAACTCTTTACTTCATATTACAAAAATAATGCAGAAGGCATAAACTGTATAAATGAACTCTGTGCGTTGTATATGGTTGCGGGTGACGCTGCAGCTGCTCCGAGCGGTGTGTGAGAAGTGTTATTTTCCGCGGCTGAGGCACGAAAGAAGCAGAAAATGTTTTCTCACAGACTGCTGGGGGCCTGATGAAATTAGGGTGTTACAGGGTGGTGCAGGTTATATGAGCATATTTTTGTTGTTGCTCAACGTAGCTTGCCAGTAGGCCGTTTCTTGATACCATATTTGCGATTAGGCACGAATCTTTCTGCGTTTTCGGGGTATCGACGATCAGGTGTATTCAGCGCGTCATGTTCCGCGACCACACGAATTTCATTTCGGTTTGCTACTGTCTGACCATTCGTTCAAGGAAAGAGCGTTCATATCGTTGCTTCCACGTCGTCTGTAGTTTCTTGCGTCTCCCCACTATTATGGGTCTCTGTGCTATTTTGACTCAATCGAGAAATTGCTTTGCCAAGATTTGATAAACTTTGCAGATTTCTATTACCCGCCATAGTTGCATAAGCGCGGTTTACAGAAAATGTACTCCGGATAAATTAGTCGCGCTCTTTCTCCGCCAAAAATGTCGTTTTATTTTAGTAAAATGTCGTTTTATATATTTGAGGAATTTCGTTTTATATATTTGACGAATTTCGTTTCATATATTTGGGAAAATTCGTTTCATATATTTTGGAATATTTCGTTTTATATATATACTAATGTCGTTTTATATATGGGTGTTTCGATTTATATATGAGTGTTTCATTTTATATATTTCTGTTTCGTTGTATACTGTATTTCGGTTTCGTTGTATATATTTCTGTTTCGTTTTATGTCTTTTATATATGGCAATTTCGGCTTACAAAAATAGATTTGAATTTATATATTTGAAATATACATTACATAAATGGACGAAAAGTAATATTGTCCATCTTGGCACGCCATAATGTGTTGTGGTAGTAATGTCAAATTTTAACGTGATTATGGCGTTATCAAGATCGCCTCCAAATAATACCGAATTTGGATGATCATATGACCACTGGTTCATCGTAAATAGGTATGGGAATTTGTTGTAGATTCTTGTTTATTTATGTGGAAATTTTTATGTCAAATTTCCTTGTTTAATATTATGATATTTAGTTTAAATGTTTGCTCATCATGCATGGCTCAATGATTTTGCTTTCGATATTTTTTGCAAGATCAGATAAAGTCATAAAGTTATATGTCTCATAATTGGATGTATTCGTATTAATCTAAATTATATGGTATACAGAATTTGAAGTTTGACCAAATGTAGATGTTTTAATAGTATGATCTAATTAATACTGCAAGATTTAATGATGGATTTTAATATCTTCTGGTATTGTGCCAATAGACCAATAGAAATGCTTATGTCACATAATTTGTCAAACAACGAATTGCATTCCAGACGCCCTCCCTGTTAAAAATTGTGTGACGTAACCACTTCTGAGGAGTGAGGTCTATTGTTTTATGAGCATTCCGATCATTAAAGAGTCAATAATTCCATCAGTAATGACCCCATCAAACAGCATTCAACATATACCCATTTAAAACCACAAACTCACCCAACAATAAAATAATACCCATTCATCTATGTACCCATTCACCTGTATGCACTCATAACTATTTAATTACACACCTACTCACATTATCACCCACCTATCTATAACAACCACCCATGCCCCCACTAAGGCAACGATTGATGTTAACTACTTTTGTTCTCAAGGATGTCGTCAGTAAAGGTGGCAGTGAGGGTGAGACCTCTGAACAGGAGAGAGCTCAACCATAAAAGCCAGTGTATAATTCAGATGGTCGGAGATAAAACTGGTATGAGTGATTATGAGTTATTAGAGAGTTTAAGCTTTGTGTTATATACGGCAAACGCCAGGCAAAGAAAAATTTTACGGTATCAAGCAATAAAGAGTAAATAAACTTGCTGTTTTAAAGCTGAAATACATAATTATTCTTTCGACGCAAGAAAGAAGATATGAAACGTAAATGTTCAATGAAAATTTTGCCAAGAAAGTTCGAACCCACCTTTGAGGTTGCCTGATGCTCCCTAATCCCTACTTTATTATTTTACTGATAATTTTACTTGTCAAGCGAGTGTGCTGCCATTCAGTGGGTTAAACCAATTCATAGGATACGACTTTACAAATAATAATAAAGTAGGGCACAATCAGCTTTTTATGTTAAGGACGCTTTCCACATTCTTATATTCTAGCAATCACAAATCCTAAAACAGAACAATCCAAGACGTTTAGCTTTGATTATTCTTTCTGGTCGTATGCCGAAGTAAGTCACTAATTTCGTAAGTGGAAAATTATATTATACATGGTTACAAACTCCAGGTTCATATAAATGAGATCAACGGTGCATTTTTTTGTGGTGTATTGCTAGCCCAACCCAGTACCAATGTGTCATGTGCACTGAAGCAAATTCAGGATATGCGTCCATTATATGATTTCCATCTTCAACAGGATGACGGTCATTTTGCTTCTCAACAAAAAGTCTACAACGAAGTTGGTCATGAAATGCTTGAGCACGCTTTAGAAGGGTAAGGAAGGGTGGAATCATGAACATACAAGAGACACTTCTTCAATCTACTCAAACTTTCAGTTGAGGCTATAAATTGTTGAAAAATTTACTGTTTCCCACTAGATATAACATATGTATATTCGCATATGGGCAAACTGGTTCAGGAAAATCCTACACAATGATGGGAATGTCTGAACCCAGACATAAAGGAGTTATACCACAGGTGATTGACACTGAACTCTATATTTATATCTGGAGTGAGACTTTGAGTCCAAAAAGTGAAGCCAAAGATGGACTTAGTGGACGTCAATTTCAATCTCTCTCCATTTTTCTTGTCTGCAAGAAGTGTGACAAAACTATCGTATTTTGACTTAGATCTCTGTCCACTGGGGCCTATCTGTCTGTTTGTTTGCCTGTTTATTTGTCAGATCTCCCTTTTCAAGGGCCAAAACTGAAAACCCCGTTTTCAAATGCCAGAACTCTGTTTTCAAGTGCCAGAACTCCCTTTTCAAATGCCAAAATTCAGTTTTCAAATGCCAAAACTCAGTTTTCAAATGCCAAAACTCAGTTTTCAAATGCCAAAACTCCGTTTTCAAATGCCAAAAGTCCGTTTTCAAATGCCAAAACTCCGTATTCAAATGCCAGAACTCCGTTTTCAAATGCCAGAGCTCCGTTTTCAACTGCAAGAAATCCGTTTTCAAAGGAAGAACTCCGTTTTCAAAAGCCAGAACTCCGTTTTCAAAAGCCAGAACTCCGTTTTCAAATGCCAAGGCTACCTTTTTAAAGGCCAGAACTCCATTTTCAAAGGCCAGAACTCCATTGGGAAAAATGGGATTAAAACTGTTTACGACCTGCATAGATATTTGACGTCAATAGTCGATCATCTTGGTTTCACTTTTCTTATCCTATATGGGCTGAATGGCTGAAGTTCCTGCTCCATATATATATATAAAAGTAATAAAACTCACTGGTAATTGACAACTTTAAAATTGAGAAAACATAAATTAAATTTTTCATCAAGACCTCAACGACAGTACAACATTTATTTTCAACTTAAAGCTTTGTGAAGAACTTTTTGAGAAAACGGAAACAATGGCATCAGAATGCGAAGAACTGTCTTTTTCTGTTGAGGTATAGTTACTGGATATAAGGGACGGACCATTAGAAAAGTGATGGGGGGGGGGGCCATTTCCAACCCGTACGATTATTTTTTCAAAATTTTTTGCTTGTGTCGATAATTTTTTTTTTTACTAATTCCTTGCTCGAATTTTTTTTTTCCAAAAATTGTTTTCAGGACATAAAAATTTTTTCAGGACATAAAAAAGGGTCAAAAAAATTTTCCGGACTAGCATCAGTTTAGTTAAAGGTTCAAAACACATTTTCCCTGACAAATTCTTCTTAAAACATGCTTAAAACGCGTTTTTTGCACCAATATCTGCAACATTTAGGTTTAGAAAATTTTTTCTCCCACCATTACTTATATCAAAAAACGTTTTATTTTCCAAATTCGGGGGCCACCCTTACACAACTTATAATTTTCCCTATTGAAAAGTCTCTGAACGAATTTTTTTTTGGAAACTTTTTTCGTGCTCGAATTTTTTTTCTGTTTCCCCTGCTCGATTTTTATTTTTGCTTTTGCCCCCATCACTTTTCTAATGGTCCGCCCCTAAGCAAAACTCAATCTGCATGGCCATCCAATTTGTGTCAGTTTAAAACAAAAACATCCATTTAATCATTTTAGGTCAGCTACATTGAAATATATTGTGAACATGTCCGTGATTTACTTAATCCGAAAAACAAGGGAAATTTGCGTGTCAGGTAATCAATAGAGACCTTACGATTGAGGACGGCAATGCGACGACAACGGCTACCAATACAATAAATCATTGAAAAGAATCGAATAATTACAATATATGAATAACTTAGACGTTGTCCTCGCTCTTTTTACAACGCCAAATCACAGATTTCACGTCTTGATACAACGGCTGCATTTCAAGCCGCAACAAGTGCAACTTCAAACTGGGTTCAACAGAACTCTTTCCAAACATAAAACCCATGTCTTCAACTTTAAGACTGTATTAAATTTATACGATTGATAATATACCACGAACTATGTTTACTACCATTTATTTGAAGGAGTTTGTTTTGGCCGTCGTCGTCGCGTTGCCGTCCTAAAATCGTAAGGTCTCTAATAATGGTTAATTACACCTGTAATGGTGTAGGTTATTCCAATTGATGATTCCCCTTATTACGTTTTTGTAGCGCTTTGCATTGTGGTCATAGTGGTATCACTGATATTCAAGATGGCTTATTTGTTGTTCTGACCCGTGCAAGAACTTTTAAAAAAAGCTAGGGTCAGGTGCGCGATAGCTAACAGCAAAATATTCGCAAAAACATTCAATATTTTCATTCGAGGACATTCAATATTTTCATTCGAGGACGCTATCTTTATCAGTGATACCACTATAACCACAATGCAAAGCGCTACGAAAACATAATAAGGGGAATCATCAATTGATGCTATTCCCCGAGCCACGCGTGCGAGGGCACTAATTCCGCCCGGCTATTTACCCCTGGGGAAATTATAACATTTAAATCTTTTTTTTGTTTCTATTCTCCATAAAGAGAGCATCCAATTATGGGACCTTATGTTGAAAGTCTTTCTAAGCTGGCAGTGACGTCATTTGCTGACATCAGCAACCTGATGGACGAGGGAAATAAAGATAGGTAGAAAATAAAAAATATATTTTCCAAGATCCTTTTCATGATGAATTTTTTAAGTAGACTACTATTTAAAGCATGAGCAGCAGTGTTTTATCAGATATAAAGATACGAGACGAAGCCGAGTGTCTTTAGTTCTGATAAAACACGCACTGCGAATGTTTTAAATTGCTTCAAAAACGATCGATCTAGTAAGTTCATTGGCGAAGTAATTTTCAAAAAATACGTTGTGTAAGTCGAGAAAATCAAAGTTAAAGTTTATGTAAATCAAGGGAAATCTCCATCACATATGAAGATACGACATGCTTATGATTTTTCTTGTGTTTTCCTCTTAATGAATCAGTGTTTTCAAAAATAATCATCATAGCAGTGAAAGCCAAATTTCAACCCTTTTTTAGGTTTTCAGTAAAAAGCAATCTGCATGCATCCTATAAATTTAAGACTGATTTGGACTTCTTTCTTCTCCCCACCTTAAACCTTTGTAATAATCGGTTGCTCTTACTTTTAGTGATATATTAACTTTTAATATAATACTCATCTGTATAGGATTAGTATAGGTAATAGTGCGGCTTCAAGTCCATTTTTTGAAAAGACATGCATGAGTATGCTTTCCAAGAGGATCATGGTAAAGCCTAGTTTCCATTTGGTCGTTAGTTGTCGCTGGCACGACAAGTGGCTGATGTAATAGAGTGTCAACAAAACTTTATAAAACTCTGCATGCAATCATTAAGGCTGATTTGCATATAACACACACATCTACCGCTTGTCGTGCCAGCGACAACTAACGACCATTTCATGGTGTAAGCCATCGACTTTACAAAACAGAAACTTGTCATGCCCAAATAAGAGCTCTTGCAATTAAACATTTAATAAACGAGTTACGAAGGGAGTGATAAGGAATTGTTTATCCCCTAAAAACGTTGTTCTAATCCACATTTTTAAGTAACGTGCCTACTCTAGCCTATGGCTGCTTTAGCCTATGCCTGCTCTTACTGTTCTAGGTTGTCGGCGACCTTATACAGTTCTTGCCGTGTCGTCATGTCTTTTTCAATTTGAAACTTTACACTATCCTTGGATCCCTAGTTACTTGCTTTATACTATTTTCAATAAAATAATACAATCTATAAATGTCCCTAGAAAATTACAGTAAACGAAAAAATAACCGGCTGTCAGAGGCGAAATAGGCGGCGGTAAACCGCCGGTAACCGCCTCTTATTGAAAACACTGAATGAATTATTAATGAGTTTTTTAAATAGTACTTAAAAGATATTTTGCATATACTTTGGATAATAGACGTGACGTTTGGAGTAATGTATAAGATATATCGACCATTACCTTTTTTTGATACACCCTGTATAATTTGACGTTATTTTAGAACTGTTGCAGCGACGAATATGAATGAAACAAGCAGCAGATCCCACGCAATTTTCACGATTATTCTCACGCAAAAAAGGTGTGAAGCAAAAGTAAATTTTGATTTTTCTTTGCTGGATATAGCTCTATCAGTTCTATGTAAACTCTTCTCACTAGAGCTCTAGTAATATAATAAAGTCTCCTATTGATGCAGTGTTACTACAGAAGGAAATATGAGAACGTGAAGAAAACCTGTGGTGTTTGGTAGAGTAAAACACGAAGCGCCTTCGCTCGAAACGTCGAAGTTCTCCTTGTATTTTTCAGGTAGTTGTATCCATGTCAATCCGAAGGTTCTTTCTTATAAGAACTACCTACTGTCCTACACTGACCCAAACCGTTTAAGATTATAAAACAAGAAGCACTTTTCTCACATGAGGCAAAATTATGATCGGACAACATTCTGTGTATTATTATCGCAGCGGTCAAATGTAATGTATAGTGTAATGTAAAACCTTTATTTCAACACGGTTATACCCTTTCAGAAGACAAGCTTCTGCTATCAATAGGGACCCTGTCCACATCCACTTAGCATTGTGTCGGAAAAATCTTCTCAAATAACGGTTTTACAGACTATAACCTTTATGTGTTATAGATACGACGAGCTAACTAAACTGACAAGTGAAAAAGTACGCTATATAATTATTTTAGTCGTAGGATTTAGGAATAAAAAAATTCTTCACTGAAATAATTTTACTTATTTTGAAAAACTTACACTCCTTCTTCGTACTTTTAGAGAAACGTCATTTGGTTTACTGAAGACGTTTTTTTTTCGTTTTATAGGTCAGCAAATTGAGTTTAGTTGATCTGGCTGGGAGCGAACGGGCAAGCGCCACAGGGGCCGAAGGATTTCGACTAAAAGTACACCTTGATATTTACCCATATCTTAACATGGCTGTACCCTAGTATATATACATGAACTTGTGGTTTAGAGCTCGACAACTGGACTCTGTAGCTCAGTTGGTTAGAGCTTGACAACTGTCTCTCTGTAGCTCAGTTGGTTAGAGCTCGACAACTGGACTCTGTAGCTCAGTTGGTTAGAGCTCGACAACTGGTCTCTGTAGCTCAGTTGGTTGGAGCTTGACAACTGTCTCTCTGTAGCTCAGTTGGTTAGAGCTCGACAACTGTCTCTCTGTAGCTCAGTTGGTTAGAGCTCGACAACTGGTCTCTGTAGCTCAGTTGGTTAGAGCTCGACAACTGGTCTCTGTAGCTCAGTTGGTTGGAGCTCGACACTGACCTCTGTAACTCAGTTGGTTAGAGCTCGACAACAGGACTCTCAGTCTGAAGCTCAGGTGGTTAGAGCTCGACAACTGGTCTCTGTAGCTCAGTTGGTTAGAGCTCAACAGCTGGACTCTGTAGCTCAGTTGGTTAGAGCTCAACAGCTGGACTCTGTAGCTCAGTTGGTTAGAGCTCAACAGCTGGACTCTGTAGCTCAGTTGGTTAGAGCTCAACAGCTGGACTCTGTAGCTCAGTTGGTTAGAGCTCAACAGCTGGACTCTGTAGCTCAGTTAGTTAGTGCTCAACAACTGGACTCTGTAACTTAGTTGGTTAGAGCACTGCACCGGAATCACAGGACCTCAGGTTCGATTCCTGCAGAGGGCCTGTAGTTGAATTTCTTGCAGCTGTCCCTGGTTGTCCCTGGTTGTCCCTGGTTAGGTCTAATATATGTATATATTTAAATTCACACTCGACAAGGGCGGATTTTCATTTTTTTCAAGGAGGGGTGGAAAAAATTTTAGTGGGGTGCAAGCGGCACCAGGGTTAAAGACTTTCACACAAAATAGGAGGGGTGAAGTGAAATTTTGGTGGGGTTGAACACTTTATAAGAGGGGTTAGAGAGATTCTAGAAATTATCGAGTGACATAGGCGGATTTACTGGGGGGAAGGGTTTAACCCCCCTAACACCCTTCCCCAGCAAATCTGCCCATGTAATTCGATAATTTCTATCTGCTCATCAATATGCATTTGCATACTGTTATTTTTGGAAACATTATTAATGTGCGTGTGCATTGAATTTGATCCAATTTTAGGAAGGTGCCAATATCAACAAGTCTCTAACAACACTGGGAAAAGTGATATCTGCCCTGGCTGAACAGGTGAAGTATACGACTTGTTTTGTACATGTGAATTGTACTCAGTCTGATATTTTCCTGAGTTGTGATTATTTATTATGATGCAGTCAAGCGGAAAAAAAAGAAGAAGATCTGATTTTATCCCATATCGAGATTCAGTTCTGACGTGGCTTCTGAAAGAGAATCTAGGTATAGTATACAGTAGTACATGTCAGGGGTGGAAGGGATGGGTGGGCACGCGAGCACTGCTCGCAGGAAATGTTAAACAGCTGCAGGAAATTATTTCGAATGAAGATTTGCTATTGAAAATTTGAGGGGAACCTTGACACCCATGTCCCATTGTGGGCGCAACAACATATGGTTGACAGACATTATTCCTCGAATTTAAAACCATGGTCAGCTAGAACACTACATGTTTATGCACATGCAAATTTAGCACAAAAATACTCCGTTGGTCTGCAGGAAATGTTTGTCTCCAGGTTGTGCTTCCAGGAAGAAAAGTCTTTTTCCTGCCCTAGTGTATGCAACCGCGGTCAGAGAACACGAGCACTGTAGAATATTCAACTATCGGAAAAGTATACAAACAAAGCTACTGTAGTTATTTGCAGACAAAAGGCCTTCGCAAATTATCCAACCAGATACCAACAAGTCTGTTGAACGTTCAATCTTGTCTATTCTAGGAGGAAATTCTAAAACAGCAATGATAGCGGCCATAAGTCCTGCTGGCATCAATTTTGAAGAGACTCTCAGTACATTAAGGTGATTGCAGATATATTCACAAGTTGTGTGGAACTGATGTTTTTATTTTTTGTACACATGCACCTAAAAACCGCACAAGTTGTAACAAACCTGCAGCAGACTTGTAGCAATGCTGTTCCAACAATTTGTCAACAGGATGTGTTCGCACTGCTTGTTCCCAGCTGTTGACAAGTTGTCAACTGCTTATTCGCAACTTGCTACAAGGTTCTTGAGCTCAATTCAAAAATGTTATCGTCTTGCAATTCAACAATTTGTCAACAAGTTGTGAGTGACGACCTTGTAGCAACTTGATGAAATAACAGCATTGCTACAACTTGTTGACAAGCTTGCTACAAGCCTGTTGCGAACACATCTTGATGACAAGTTGTTCTTTACGTGTGTAGTTAATGAAATTATACGATGTTATATAATTTGATATTTTTCGCAACAGATATGCTGACAGAGCGAAGCAGATCGTGTGTAAGGCTGTTGTCAACGAAGATCCCAACGCTAAGGTCGGCTTAAGCTGACCTCATTACACTTGATATAACTTTATCAGTTCAAAATTGTCCGTATGGAGGTCCAGTAAGGTTGTCTCTTGTTGGTCCAATGTTACCGTTGGAGGAAACCCGAGACTTTCGGTAGAACGTTGACCGACTCTTTTCACACAAATGTCTCAGGTTCAGAGCAAACATTACCCCCCCCCCCTCCCCCCACCATTTCAAAGGTGCATAGTGTTGCTCTGACGACTTAAGGTAATCTTATTTTCTAACTAAAGTTCATATTTGTCTAGATTATACGAGAATTGAAAGATGAAGTTTCAAAGTTACGTGAATTGATTCAAAGAGAAGGATTGGACCTAGAAAAGATTGAAGGTACTGGCTTGTTTTCATCGTTCTACCAAGAAACACACACCACTGTAAATACAGTGAAGTTATTGTTTATTGTCCATTGAATTTCTCACTCTTTGATGAGCGAATGTCCCAACAGACTATTGCCCAATTTGATAGGGATCCATCCGAGGTACCACGATTTTAACGTCCTTATCCGAAAAGACGCGAAAGTATAGTCTAACCATTTACTTTGTAGCACTTTCTCCTCAATTATTTTGAGACCTTGAGTAGAGGTCCGACCAAGGACTGAACCCGGACCCCCAGCTTGAAAGGCAAGCGTGATGATCACGACACTACCAGTGCTGGTTACAACACTACAAGTCTCACTGGTCACTGGTCCACCACAAGTGCTGGTTACAACACCACAAGTCTCACTGGTCTACCACAAGTGCTGCATGGTTACAACACCACAAGTCTCACTGGTCACTGGTCCACCACAAGTGCTGGTTGCAACACCACAAGTCTCACTGGTCTACCACAAGTGCTGCATGGTTACAACACTACAAGTCTCACTGGTCACTGGTCCACCACAAGTGCTGGTTGCAACACCACAAGTCTCACTGGTCTACCACAAGTGCTGCATGGTTACAACACCACAAGTCTCACTGGTCACTGGTCCACCACAAGTGCTGGTTACAACACCACAAGTCTCACTGGTCTACCACAAGTGCTGCATGGTTACAACACCACAAGTCTCACTGGTCACTGGTCCACCACAAGTGCTGGTTACAACACCACAAGTCTCACTGGTCTACCACAAGTGCTGCATGGTTACAACACCACAAGTCTCACTGGTCACTGGTCCACCACAAGTGCTGGTTACAACGCCACAAGTCTCACTGGTCTACCACAAGTGCTGCATGGTTACAACACCACAAGTCTCACTGGTCACTGGTCCACCACAAGTGCTGGTTGCAACACCACAAGTCTCACTGGTCTACCACAATTCCTGCATGGTTACAACACCACAAGTCTCACTGGTCACTGGTCCACCACAAGTGCTGGTTACAACACCACAAGTCTCACTGGTCTACCACAAGTGCTGCATGATTACAACACCACAAGTCTCATTGGTCTACCACAAGTGCTGGTTACAACACCACAAGTCTCACTGGTCTACCACAAGTGCTGGTTACAACACCACAAGTCTCACTGGTCTACCACAAGTGCTGCATGATTGCAACACCACAAGTCTCACTGGTCACTGGTCCACCACAAGTGCTGGTTACAACACCACGAGTCTCACTGGTCACTGGTCCACCACACGTGCTGGTTGCAACACCACAAGTCTCACTGGTCCCTGGTCCACCACAAGTGCCGGTTGCATTTGATGCATAGAAATTCCTAAATAACTGTTCTTAAGGCCCATTTCCACTGAAGAAAAATTTCCACGGACAGAAAATTTTCCGAAAATATCATTGTTAAAAGTTGAAAATTTTCAACTTTAAAATTTTTTTCCCACGGAAAATTTGTGTCGGCCGATCACATTTTACAAAATTTTCTTTCTGCGGAAAATTTTCCCGAGTGGAAATGGGGCTTTAAATGTTCATTCTGGAACTTCTATTTTCAGGTCTTAGCAATGTTGGAGGCAACACGCGAAGTAGCGAGGCAAAGGAAGATATAATTGCTTTGCAATCCAAACTCAAGGTAATTAAAACACAAGTCGGCGTATTTTGTTTTAGTGCATTGAAACTCGAATGATCTTTCAATTTTCTTTCAGTTACCAGAGGAATTTATATTTTCAGGAATCAGAAAGATTCGTCGAGGAACTCACAGAAACGTGGGAGGAAAGACTGAAGAAAAGCGAAGCGATTAAAGCAGAAAGGTAAACTTAAAGAGACTACATTTCTGTAGCGTTATTTGCTATAACTCAATAGCGCTGTACATTCAAGTTACAATAAAACTACTAACTATAGGAAGTTGTTACAGTGAATGGAAAAATTGAAAGTCAATATGTTATAGGAGGCGTAGTACTATTTGCAATAAAATTAATACCATTAACAAATCTGTATAAATAATTAATAAGAACTGTTTTGCACTGCTTTAGGTAAGGTTGGCTAATCGTAAAAATGCTTAAAAAGATAAGGGAAAGACCTATGACCATAGCTTACCAATCTAACTGATGATATACAATAGATTCTTTGAAGTGGATCTTAGTATATGGTTGTAGCAACGCTTTGATGTAGGTCAAGTTGGCACAAGATTTTTTGTTAGCCGCGTCGATTATATTTTCAACCTAAACGAGCTTTTTGAATTCCGTACATGACATCTGCTTCTCTACTGAGCTAGACCGTGTAGTAGAAATCGATTCATTACATAGTCTTTTCTAATAGCGGTTATCTTGTTGTCAAAAACTTGTATAAAATTGTTCACGAGTTCAGTCTTCGAGAGCGCACTAGGAAAACGCCTCTCAACTTTACGATATAGCAGCTTGTCCATTGTGCTAAAAAGTATTTTCGGATCTGATGCATTTTCTGAGATTATGGAAGAGTAGTATGAAGCCTTTGCATCCCTGGGCATCTTATTTACGATCTGACATTCTTCGACATGCATCTGCCTATCAATGCATAGCCTTGACACACGTCAGCGGCGTTCCAGCTTCTGTCTTTTCGCATCTCCAATGTGCTGTTGATACCATGGAGCTGACGGACGGATGGTAATCATACGTCATTTTAATGGTGCATGCTTGTCTAATGTTTCTTCCAATGTCTTTTCGTAATGCTCAACAATGACAGAGAGAGTTTCTGGTGATTGCCAAGCAAAAGAGTAGAATTTTTGAGGTCCTCGTTAAAACTCTCCATGTTGACCGAGCGCAGTTTTCGATATTGAATTTCAGTTTGTTCCATGCAGCGGTGGTTTATTTAAGCGCAACATGCAGTGCACAGCTGAGTAGTCAGATAGCACTGGATCTCGTATTTCAATGTTGGTAACAAGTTCAGCCCTCGTCATGATCAAGTCCAAAGTGTGCCCCTTCTTGTGGGTTGGGCCATTTACATGCTGTTTTAGGTTGAACGATTCCAATATCCTATTGAACTTGGTATAGTGTTTAGTTTATTGGCATTGTCCATATGGTAATTAAAGTCACCTACTATCAGTAGGTTGCCTGTGGAACTAACGAGCTGTTCTGCGAGAGTGCAAAATTCATTAAGAAATAAGGCACTGTTCAGTTGGTTAGTCTTCGATTGAGGTGGCCGGTGAATGGTAATGAGTTTACACAGCCACTAGAGCACTTCGAAAAAATATCTACGTACTCTTGAAAGTGCTTGTGATGTATTTGAAGTTGCGCTGTATTTGTCTCTTTACTTGTATGTGTTTCTTCAACAAAAGACCTATCCCACCGCCCCGTGAGTTTTCCGTGGCATGTGATAAAGTAATATCCAGTAGGACAAATCTCAGCAGTAGACAATTTGATCATTGTTGCGTAGCCACGTCTTGGTCAGTGCGAAAATGTCAAGGTTGTTATCGACAGCATCAGAGTCTTTGAGAGCAAGCTCTTTTTTATTAATTGATAACGTATTTATAGTAAACAAAAATCCATTGGCACAAAACCATTCCGCTGTTGTTTATTGCTTGTACAGTTTATATTGATGTTGATTAAATTTGATAAATTGACCCCCTGTTACGGGCGCTTCAATTTCGGTATTCGTATATTGCCGGGAAATTGCTGTGATATAGGTCTCTCGCTTTTTAGACACGGTATTACCATTGCGAATTGCACTAGTACGCGGAAGTAGTCCAAGTTGATTTAAGTTCATCACAATTTGACAAGATGAATAGCCGGTGTCGTATCTTCTCTGAGCGAGCAGTTGTGTTTTTGAATAATTATAATTATGGTAATTAGCAGCAATGGTGTTCAAATGTATTTGCGTTTGTATATGTTGATTATCGGTGTCATTTACTGTTGGTTAAGATAAAAAGTTTGGCCCTGGATTTGGGGAGATATCGATACATATCGTTAAGTCAATTTCAAACGGTTTTGATGGAAGAATCAAACAGGTATTTCCATGTTTCGTGGATCTAACAATCGCGAAGTAGTAAACTGCGATTCGAACCTCATTGTTCGATGAATGTTGACTTGAAATAAAGCCGACTCAAAACGATTGATATCATGGCCATCCTTGTACAATCCATATTTATCGCTATAGCTAGTGTTCTTAGATATAAGAATAAATCTCCAGTTTGGCTCAAGACGTCGTGAATTGGCAGAAAATATTAAAATACAGCAGAACTTAAAATACAAATTGAATGCCGAAACTAAATGTAATGTACACAAGAAAGCTCAGTGTTATTACGGGATTAAACTTGAGTAAATCTCGAACGGCCAGTCTATAGGTAGAGGCGATAAAAACAGCTGCAGTGTAAAAGAAACAGAGCAGCCTGAAAATATGAGCAGAACTTATTTACAACGCACCTGTTTCTTAACTAGAGTACTTAAATAAAACCTGCTGCATTCGAGTTGGAACGACGACAATGGTTTCCTTAATATTTTCTTTTCTGATAGGGAAGCAATTTTGGCTGAAATGGGTGTAGCTCTGGGAGAAGATGGCCATAGTGTTGGGTTGTTTCAACCGAAAAAGGTATAAATATATAATTTTTGTACTAAATAATTATATAGCTAATACGGTTCAGGATGTGACCGAGGAAAAAAAATTTGTGTAACGAGCGCTTAATTTTTTAGAATCCATATTTGGTAAATCTGAACGAAGACCCTCTGATGTCAGAGTGCTTACTGTACTACATCAACACTGGACTGACTAGGTAGGCTTTGACAAGGTGGGGGGGGGGGGCAGGGGGACACTTTACCCCGGCCCCCTTGCTGAAAAGGTCCCCCCAAAGCAACGAATGCCGTTAAAATTTCTTGATACAAAATTGCGTATCCTTACTTGTAATAATGTGATGCATGTGAATTAATGATATGAGATTACTAAGGATTTCTTCTTGCTTTAATGTTTGTTATTTTTGTCCAGTGTCGGGTGTGCATCTGGCGTTGTGTCTCAACATATCAGACTAAATGGCACCAATATTCAAGAACAGCATTGCACTTTCAATAACGACGAAGGTATAAAAGCTTGCTTCAGTTTCGGTGCCCAAATGAAGTTTGGCATCCTTTTATATTCGCTGCTTTAGTTTGTTCGGAATCATATTCCTTGGTATTTATTCAAAAGTAGCATGTCTTCGCGTTTGTGGTGCATGCATTTGTTTTGCCACTTAATTTTTACTGTGCCTCGTTTTTCTGTCTTAACCAACTTTTCATCTCGATATCTTCATACGAGTTGTTGATGTTTCTGTGTAGGGAACGTGCAAGTTATCCCAATTGAAGAAGCGAAGACGTTTGTCAACGGAAAACTGATTACCGAAGCTGTCTCGTTGCAGTCTGGTAAGGTGACTTGTACTACTTCTACGTTTACAAACTTAACGCTCACAGTAGGAATTTTCCATTGGTAAATTCTAAGTTTTGAAAGATTTGTGAGAAATGTTTGAGGGATCTGACTCAGTGTTTAACATCAAGCCAGTTCCCTGAAACATTTCTTCCAAATTCTTCAAAACTTAGAATTTACCTATGCAAAATTCCTACTGTGATCACAGAAACTTTGATAGTGTAATGCCTTTAGAATAACTATGTCGATTTACCTAAAATTAATAATCTATCCCTACAGATCATTCGTAAATTCTAAGTTTTGAAAATTTTTTAGAAATGTTTGAGGGACCTGACTCAATGTTAAACAATGTTCCTACTGCGATCACAGAAACTTTGATAGTGTACCAGCCTTTAGATAACTATGAAAAGTTTAGATGGAAAAATTATTTTTTTCAGGAGATCGAATAATCATGGGCGAAAGTCACATATTTCGATTCAACAATCCTCAACAAGGTACACTAATACATTGAATTCAATGTTGTTTGTCTTGCCTTTTTTCTAACCCCCCCCCTGGTTTTTGGGTTTGTGTCATAGATATCTTATATACACTAGATAGTGCATCTAATTATTCTGCAATTCAAAAATTGAAGCCATGATTGCAGTCTCAGGTCGTTCCCATGAAATGAGAAGATTCGTATGTTTTCTATTTCTTAAGCAGGGAACTTAAACATTATTAACCTATTCCAAATACGTTTTTAAACTATTCAAATGATGAAAGTTATTGTTGTTTTTAAGCGTTTATTAGCAAGTGGGAACGACCAACATGGCCGCCATCTATTCAAATGGGGGTAACCGCTGGAATATTCTTGGCTTCAATTTTACTAAAAGAGATGCGCTATCTAGTGTATATAAGATATCTATGGTTTGTGTGCGGTGCAACAATTTAGTTATTGTATGCTAATCTTTTAGTTAGGGCAGCAACATCAGAAATGATATCAAAACAAGAAGACGTATCCGACTGGACATTTGCTTGGCAAGAATTACGTAGAGAACAAGGCGTTGATATGATATCTGTCATGTCTGATGCAAGGTTTGTTTCTTGTCGTTTGGACTGCCTTGAAAGGGCCTGTGATGTTGTTTGATAAAACAACTGATCTTCTTGTAGAGTACTGGAGTTGGAAGAACGTATTGAACAAGAGAAGAAGGCCGCTGATATTTTACTAGAACAACAAAAACAGGTTTGACAATTTCAGTTTCTCAAGCACACACGTAAAAATCTCACAACTTGTCAACAAGATGTGTTCGCAACAGGCTTGTAGTAAGCTTGTCAACAAGTTGTAACAATGCCGTTATTTTATCAAGTTGCTACAAGGTTGTCACTCGCAACTTGTTGACAGGACGATAACAAAGTTGTTTGGAACAACTTGTATAAATACCACGTCTGTTAAAATCAACAACCTTGTAGCAAGTTGTGAACAAGTCTGACAACTTGTCAACAAGCTGGGAACAAGCAGTGCGAACACATCCTGTTGACAAGTTGTTGTAACAGCATTGCTACAAGTCTGCTGCAGGTTTATTACAACTTGTGCGTTTTTACGTGTGTAAACAAATCTATTCTGTAACGAACTGTTGAACTCTTGTTCGTGTGGGGATTCTCCCTTGCAATGAGATTGCATGATTTAGCACGACTGGGATTTTTGATGCAAAATGAATGACTTATTCACAAGTAATCTTATATTTTCAGACATATGAATCGAAACTCCAAGCCCTCCAAAGAAAGGTAGGATGGTTAGTCTGTACAAAATTAGCGTGTAAATATTTGGTCGCCAAAACTAAAAAATCTTTATTTCTCAAGGTCAATTTATCATCACCGCCATCGACAGAAACGTTAGCAAGCACAAGTGAAAATGATCTGGATAGTTCGACAAGTGGTTAGTAGATTTTTTTGTTGGTGCTGGACTTCTCTAGGGGGCGCTAGACACCATCAAGTGGGATGCCCACCACATTGCACTCCCGCAGTAGTGCAACAAATTTGAAAGAGTTCTTGATGAGGCGGAATTCTCTACAAACTAATTATGACCTCAGAAATTCTCGCACTGATCTGGCCATTCCTAAACCGAGAAGCGAATTTCTTAAAAAAAAGCTTTAAATACAGTGGTGCTAAACTTTGGAATAATCTTCCGCGAGAAGCTAAGGAAGCGCAATCAATTTACTCTTTCAAAAACTTTGTAAAACAATTTAATTGTTAGATAGAAACAACTATAGATCTTAATATACGACCAGGTCACGCCAATTTAATTTCCTTTTATAAAGTACTTGTAAATATAGCTATATATTTATATTTTTCTCTCTTTGTAAATATCATTTTCTTGTGCTAGTGACGCCCCTTGTGGAAATCAACTATTGTTGTTGACAAGACTAGCGTCATTAAATAAAATTTTACATACATACATACAGTAGATCCGCCCCTGGGATAGCATACAGGATTTTTCAGGTGAAAGTCTCACAGTTTATTTTTTTGCAACCAGTGAGTGCCGAGACATGCAGTTGGTCGGAACGAGAGGAGTATCTTGCAAAAACCGTTGCTGAAAAATGGAAAATATATCACTATATATCTTTGAAGGTACGTTTTCATGTTGATCTAGTGAATATAAAAACATGATACGGTCCTTTTTTAGTAGTGACAAATTTCTATATTCTTATAGAAAGATATCCTGAAGCATACAGTGCCGTTAAAGGAGGCGAATGTGATCAGTTTTGAATTGAAGAAAAAGGTCTGTTGGATAGATGCATCAGTTCGAAACAGTTATTCCTATAATATCAAGTATGGTCCTTCCCATATTGTTCTCACATTTATTAATAATTCATGAGCAATTCAGCCAATGATAATCACCTATTTGATCACAAGATGCCATTTGGATAACCCGGTGAAACTTGATGAAAGTCACTAGTGTTTTCATCAAATATCTTAATTACGCATGCAAAATTACTTGAATAGTCAGAATAGAATTCCTAATTACGTTATGCTTGGTTAAGAATTCTATTCAAATCAGCAAACGAAAACATTCTGTTACGTCTCGATTCACTGAGAAGCCATATAAACAACTCGAGCTCGTGTTGCACCGGGATATCCAAACACTCGAAAACAATGCATACATTGTTTTCTCGTGTTTGGATATTGTTTTCTCGTGTTTGGATATCCCGGTGAAACACTCGCTCTCGTTGTTCATATATTACGTCCAATGTTACTACAAGAAGAAGCACTCTTCTCTCATGCCCCAGGAAAACGTGACGACAAGATTTGCACGAGAGTTGATGAGAGTTGCCCAGATATACATGGACAAACGAGCGAAACCTCTAATCAACTCTTAAAAAAACTCATTAATAATTCATGAGAAAAATACAAAAGAAATGAACGTTTAATCAATGTTTGTAAATCGGATAAAGATTTATCCCGATTTACATAAACTTCAGCTTTGATTTTTTCGGCTTAGACAATGTTTATTTTTAAAATTACTTCGCCAATGAACTCATAAGATGGGTCGTTTTTTAAACACGTTATATCAGATAAAGATTGGCTGCTCATGTTTTAACTAGTACTTGAATTTGAACAGTTGAGAACAGTCAGAATTTGAACAGTTGGAAGTCAAACGCGAGTGAGAGTTTCAACGTAATTTTCTCTTTAATTTTCTCAGGTGAAGTTTCAATTTGTCATATTCGCCCAAGGTGACTACTTCAGTATCCCGGAGACAGTGGACGTGGACCTCGGGCCCAGGTCTCCTCGTACAGTACTCGCTGTTGAGGTGTCGGATGGTAAGAATGGTGTCGTTCATTCCTGGAGTTTGAAAAAGTTCAGGGAACGGTTAAAAACGATGAAGGATCTTTACAATAAAATTGCCATGGCAACCGAACACAGCGATAGCGAGACAGAGGATCCATTTTACGATGACTTTCCTTGGTTTCGTTTAGTTGGCAGGTTGGTGGTTAACAGAGAGCTTTTGGTACATACAGATATCGAGTAGAAGATTCATCGTTTGCGCACTAGACACATAGCGATATGCCATCCCATCTCGTGACGTCATTGAAGTCCATGAACCTACAAAATTTGGTGCTGCATGCCCAGTAGAGGCCCTAGGTCTGGGGTGGTGATATGGTAGATTCTATCCAGATATGTCCAAAATTTAAGACCAGTTTACACTATGGAAGTTTCTGTGATCACATTAGAAATTCTGCATGAGTGAATTTGAAGGATTTGTAAGAAAAGTTTGAGGGAACTCAGGAACTGACTCATTGCTAAACAATGAATCAGTTCCCTCGACTATTTCTCCCAAATCCTTCAAAACTTAGAATTTGCCCACGCAAAATTCCTGCTGAGATCACAGAAACTTTGATAGTGTAAACCAGGCTTTCGGTTACTTGAAATGTAATAATCTATCCCTACAGATCATTCGTTTACATGCGGCATTTGCTCTACGGTATATCTCTGGATCAGAAAGTTCCCATTGTCAATGAAAGATCAGAAATTTTGGGAGCTCTTCTTGTGAGAATCGAACCCGTTGTAGGTAGGTTGCTTTTGAAGTGTATCAAATATCCAAAACTTTGTGCTTGTCGACTCACATAAAAGAGTCATGTATGGTAATACTGTACTCTGTGATATTTTTCAAAGGTGATGAAAGTTCTGAATGTGATAAGCATTTTCTACCGAATGTCGCTTGGATTACTGGAAAGAATGAGGTAGCTTTGATGCCAATATATGGTTCTATGACTTCTATCAGTTTTAAACTGTTCTTCCTAGCGGTCCAGTAAGGATCATCTCTTATTCATCCAGTGTTTCTACAGGAGGAAACCTAAACTAAACTAACTTTATTTATACTGGATAGCTTTATCAGTTCTAAACTGTTCTCCCTAGAGGTCCAGTAAGGGTCATCTCTTATTGATCCAGTGTTACTACAGGAAGACACCTAAACTGAACTAACTTTATTTATACTGGATAGCTTTATCAGTTCTGAACTGTTCTCCCTAGAGGTCCAGTAAGGATAATCTCTTATTGATCCATGCAGTGTTACTACAGGAGGAAACCTAAACTAAACTAACTTTATTTATACTGGATAGCTCTATCAGTTCTAAACTGTCCCCCCTATGGCCCCTAGAGTTCCAGTAAGGATCATCTCTTATTGATCCAGTGTTACTACAGGAGGAAACTGAGCACCAGGAGAAAAACTGTAGCGTTTGGTGTTTATTTAAAGCCAGTTTATAAATGGATTCCAGGAACAAGAATGTTCTGACATGGGCAGTGTTGACAGTCTCCATGAAGATCGCTTGAGAATTGGTTCTACTTTAGTTCTGCGAGTTACCATCTTGGAGATGATCGCTGTTCCTCAAGAATATAGTGATGTGTTTTGTCAGTTTAAGTAAGTTGCTACTGTTACCATTTCCGACCACCATCTCTTGTAACGCTAATGAAACCAAAGAATGATGTGTTCTGTTTTGTAGGTTTATATCGTTGGCAGGCGAGGACAACACATTTTCATCTGAGATTGTTCACAACACACCTTCGCTTCTCAGTGAAGTGACCGTTCTTTCTCAAGATGTATGGTGATTCACTGTTCATATCATATACCATACCATACCATACCATACCCTACCTACTACCATAGCATAGCATACCATATCATACCACACCATAGTATACCTACCATAGCATACCATACCATACCATACCATACTATACCATACCCTACTATACCACACCATACCATATTATACTACACCCTACTAATACCTACCATACCATATCATATACCATACCATGCCATATCATATACCATACCACACCACACCATACCATACCATACCACACCACACCATACCATACCACACCATACCATACCACACCATACCACACCACACCATACCATACCATACCACACCATACCACACCATACCACACCACACCATACCATACCATACCATACCACACCATACCATACCACACCATACCATACCACACCATACCATACCACACCATACCATACCACACCACACCATACCACACCACACCATACCATACCACACCACACCACACCATACCATACCACACCATACCATACCATACCATACCACACCATACCATACCATACCATACCACACCACACCATACCATACCACACCACACCATACCATACCATACCACACCACACCATACCATACCACACCATACCATACCACACCATACCACACCATACCATACCACACCACACCATACCACACCACACCATACCATACCATACCACACCATACCACACCATACCATACCA